GGAACTCACTCCATGATGAATTAAAAAATTGTCCAACCCTGTCAACCCTGTTGAAAAGTAAAGCCAAAATACCTAATTTCATCCTCATAGTTTCCTACCTTGTGCTTCATGCTCACACGGTATCTTGTACTACCCACTTCCCCAATATTAGTACTTAATTAAGACTAATTAAGTACTTAATTTTTATCAGTGTATATCACCTCTGACAATTTATATTGTTGATATACAACCTTGCTACAATGTACCTTTTCAGCTTTCCTGATATGTTAGATTAAGGACCTGCCAGAAACGCTGTGTGATAGTGACTTTGCAAGAATGTAAAAATTCCAATCTTATGTAATCTCACCAACCCATTGTACCTTCTTGCAAAATAATATTATTATGTTTACAAAAGCATGTGTTGGTTTTAATAGGCTGAACACTGTATGAGAGGGAATAATCCCCCCACCCCTCCACCTTAGGATTCTTATCATGAGCTTGGACATATAAGGTTAGACAGAGTGGTCTGCGCAGTGCTCTGGCTGTCTTGAAGATGCGTGTGACATTTGCATACTTCATATCTAGGGGAGACCTCCTTGGTTAATATATTACAGTCTCCGTGGTGTAGTGGTAAGACACTCGCCTGGCGTTCCGCGAGCGCTATGTCATGGGTTCGTATCCTGGCCGGGGAGGATTTACTGGGCGCAATTCCTTAACTGTAGCCTCTGTTTAACGCAACAGTAAAATGTGTACTTGGATGAAAAAACGATTCTTCGCGGCAGGGGATCGTATTCCAGGGACCATAGGATTAAGGACTTGCCCGAAACGCTACGCGTACTAGTGGCTGTACAAGAATGTAACAACTCTTGTATATATCTCAAAAAAAAAAAAAAGTTCTAAAAGGGATCGGTAAATACAGTTTATTAGTCAATTCTTTTATATATATTTTAGTTTATGTTGACAGGGAAATATATGTGTGCTTAGGGGTGCCTTCTCACCACGCCCAGTGGCTGGGGCGGTTGATTGGTGCCCTCAAGCTATATAAAAACAATATATCCCCCTCCCTCTGAAATGGCAAGGGGGGTTAGGGGACAAAAAAATAGCTATTAGAATGAATAACACCATAGACCTTTAAATGACGATACTCTACTTTATTTTTGGCATGAAATGGAGATATCCTTTAACTCATTCTGCTCTCTTGCTTCAAACTCCTCAACACCAACTAATGTTATCAGAAGAGCCAAATTATCATGAAACTTTATCAAAAGAAACAAGAAAAGTATTGTGATAATGATCTTTAACTTTCTAGGTCAGGATACGATAGACAATATATACTGTATTTAATGTCACTCTTCAATAGAAACATACTTCAGAGCTGATAGATCGAAGTTCAGTGCCGCGAGAGGGATCATTAGGTGTAGTGGGGGGGGGGGGGGTCAATAATGTCATTAAGTGTAGTAGGAGAGGCTAATAATATCATTAGGTGTAGTGGGTGAGGCTAATAATGTCATAAGGTGTAGTGGGTGAGGCTAATAATATCATTAAGTGTAGTGGGAGAGGCTAATAATGTCATTAAGTGTAGTGGGAGAGGCTAATAATGTCATTAGGTGTAGTGGGTGAGGCTAATAATATCATTAGGTGTAGTGGGAGAGGCTAATAATGTCATAAGGTGTAGTGGGTGAGGCTAATAATATCATTAGGTGTAGTGGGTGAGGCTAATAATGTCATAAGGTGTAGTGGGTGAGGCTAATAATATCATTAGGTGTAGTGGGTGAGGCTAATAATATCATTAGGTGTAGTGGGTGAGGCTAATAATGTCATAAGGTGTAGTGGGTGAGGCTAATAATATCATTAGGTGTAGTGGGTGAGGCTAATAATGTCATTAAGTGTAGTGGGAGAGGCTAATAATGTCATTAGGTGTAGTGGGTGAGGCTAATAATGTCATTAAGTGTAGTGGGAGAGGCTAATAATGTCATTAGGTGTAGCGGGTGAGGCTAATAATGTCATTAGGTGTAGTGGGAGAGGCTAATAATGTCATTATGTGTAGTGGGTGAGGCTAATAATGTCATTATGTGTAGTGGGTGAGGCTAATAATGTCATTATGTGTAGTGGGTGAGGCTAATAATGTCATTAGGTGTAGTGGGTGAGGCTAATAATGTCATTAGGTGTAGCGGGTGAGGCTAATAATGTCATTAGGTGTAGTGGGAGAGGCTAATAATGTCATTATGTGTAGTGGGTGAGGCTAATAATGTCATTAAGTGTAGTGGGTGAGGCTAATAATGTCATTAAGTGTAGTGGGTGAGGCTAATAATGTCATTAGGTGTAGTGGGTGAGGCTAATAATGTCATTAGGTGTAGTGGGTGAGGCTAATAATATCATTAGGTGTAGTGGGGGAGGCTAATAATGTCATTAGGTGTAGTGTGAGGCTAATAATATCATTAGGATAATGAAAACGACTGATTTGTGATTTTTCTAATGCCATATTTAATCTATTAATCATATCTAAATTAATACAAATTATTAACCTTGAAATATGAATATGACCTTTATTGTTGTCGACTGGACAAATATGATCGAAATTTTGTTGTTGTAAATGGTGTTAACATATGAGTATGTCATTAAAAGTAACATACCTTAAACATGCAACCAGATCTATCTGATGCTCTCTACTACACAATGTTACTTTGATAAACATATCAATACAATGTCATATGCAGGCGATGAGTCACAATAAAGTGGCTGAAGAATGTTGACCAGACCACACACACTAGAAGGTAAAGGGACGACGACGTTTCGGTCCGTCCTGGGGCCAGATTCACGAAAGCACTTACGAACGTGTACATCTTTCCTCAATCTTTGACGGCTTTAGTTACATTTATTAAACATTTTACAAGCATGAAAACTTGCCAATCAACTGTTGTTATTGTTATAAACATCCTCCTGGTGCTTCAGAGCTTATTAACTGTTTAATAATTGGAAACAAACCCGCCAAAGATTGAGAAAAGATGTACAGGTTCGTAAGTGCTTTCGTGAATCTGGTCCCAGGACCATTCTCACAATCGACTTTAGAATGGTCCAGGACGGACAGAAACGTCGTCGTCCCTTCACCTTCTAGTGTGTGGTCTGGTCAACAATACAATGTCATCGTCTAGCACACCAATGGTAACTTGTAATGAATTATTCATGAACAGTTAGGTAAAGCAATTGAATTCTCCATACATACACATAAAGAAACAATTATTTTAAAAATCAAAATGATTACCTGCAGCTTAATAATACAACTGAAATAATACCAATACTTATACAATATAAATTACCAGGCAGTAAAGTAGGGAGGGGAAAAAAGAGTGAATTAATATCCATAAATTATACTGAGGAAATAATAATAATAATAATAATAGGTACAAAGATATTAGCAGTAAGCTTGAGACTGAGGAATGCTACTGCTTGTAAGAGTTCACCATACATGCTGACTCTTACAGCTACTGCTTGTAAGAGTGCATCATACATGCTGACTCTTACAGCTACTGCTTGTAAGAATGCACCATACATGCTGACTCTTACAGCTACTGCTTGTAAGAATGCACCATACATGCTGACTCTTACAGCTACTGCTTGTAAGAATGCACCATACATGCTGACACTTACAGCTACTGCTTGTAAGAGTTCACCATACATGCTGACTCTTACAGCTACTGCTTGTAAGAATGCACCATACATGCTGACACTTACAGCTACTGCTTGTAAGAGTTCACCATACATGCTGACTCTTACAGCTACTGCTTGTAAGAGTTCACCATACATGCTGACTCTTACAGCTACTGCTTGCAAGAATGCACCATACATGCTGACTCTTACAGCTACTGCTTGTAAGAGTTCACCATACATGCTGACTCTTACAGCTACTGCTTGTAAGAGTTCACCATACATGCTGACTCTTACAGCTACTGCTTGTAAGAATGCACCATACATGCTGACTCTTACAGCTACTGCTTGCAAGAGTGCACCATACAAGCTGACTCTTACAGCTACTGCTTGTAAGAGTGCACCATACATGCTGACTCTTACAGCTACTGCTTGTAAGAGTGCACCATACATGCTGACTCTTACAGCTACTGCTTGTAAGAATGCACCATACATGCTGACTCTTACAGCTACTGCTTGTAAGAATGCACCATACATGCTGACTCTTACAGCTACTGCTTGTAAGAATGCACCATACATGCTGACTCTTACAGCTACTGCTTGTAAGAGTGCACCATACATGCTGACTCTTACAGCTACTGCTTGTAAGAGTGCACCATACATGCTGACTCTTACAGCTACTGCTTGTAAGAGTGCACCATACATGCTGACTCTTACAGCTACTGCTTGTAAGAGTGCACCATACATGCTGACTTACAGCTACTGCTTGTAAGAGTGCATCATACATGCTGACTCTTACAGCTACTGCTTGTAAGAATGCACCATACATGCTGACTCTTACAGCTACTGCTTGTAAGAATGCACCATACATGCTGACTCTTACAGCTACTGCTTGTAAGAATGCACCATACATGCTGACTCTTACAGCTACTGCTTGCAAGAGTGCATCATACATGCTGACTCTTACAGCTACTGCTTGTAAGATTGCACCATACATGCTGACTCTTACAGCTACTGCTTGTAAGAATGCACCATACATGCTGACTCTTACAACTACTGCTTGTAAGAGTGCATCATACATGCTGACTCTTACAGCTACTGCTTGTAAGAATGCACCATACATGCTGACTCTTACAGCTACTGCTTGCAAGAGTGCATCATACATGCTGACTCTTACAGCTACTGCTTGTAAGAGTGCATCATACATGCTGACTCTTACAGCTACTGCTTGTAAGAGTGCATCATACATGCTGACTCTTACAGCTACTGCTTGTAAGAGTGCATCATACATGCTGACTCTTACAGCTACTGCTTGTAAGAGTGCACCATACATGCTGACTCTTACAGCTACTGCTTGTAAGAATGCACCATACATGCTGACTCTGACAGCTACTGCTTGCAAGAATGCACCATACACGGTGACTCTTACAGCTACTGCTTGTAAGAGTGCACCATACATGCTGACTCTGACAGCTACTGCTTGTAAGAATGCACCATACATGCTGACTCTGAGCTACTTCTTGAAGGAAGACACGACGTCCACCACGGTGTTGTGAAGACTGTCCAACTGAAACAATACAAAGTGACCAATTGTGTCACATCCTGAGAAGTGGTAGAGAGGTCATGTCATCATTTGTGTTAACAGGTCAAGATCTGCCAGCAGCAGCAGCAGCAGCACTCAAAGGACTGTACAATGATTCAATGTTCCTTCAAGGCTCCGAGATATATATATATACCGTTGTATGTGTGTATTCACCTAGTTGTACTTGTAGGGGTTGAGCTCTGGCTCTTTCGGCCCGCCTCTCAACTGTCAATCAATCAACTGATATTTTTTGTATTTTTCCCACATACACACACACACACACAGGAAGCCGCCCATAGCCAGAGTTCCTATTTACGGCTAGGTGAACAGAGGCATCAGGGTGAAAGAAACTGCTCATTTGTTTCCGCCGTCGCCGGGGATCGATCCCCGGATCCTAGCATTACGAATCCCGAGCGCTGTCAGGCCCCCCGCTGTAATTACTTACGTGTAGTTACAGGATGAGAGCTACGCTCGTGGTGTCCCGTCTTCCCAGTACTCTATCATATAACGCTTTGAAGCTACTGACGGTCTTGGCCTCCACCACCTTCTCACCCTGACTTGTTCCAACCATCTACCACTGTTTGCGAAGGTCAATTTTCGTATATTTTCTTCGGCAGCTTTGTTTAGTTAGTTTAAATCTACTACCTCTTGCTCTTGAATTTCCAGCTTTCAGGAAATCTTCCCTATCAATTTTATTGATTCCTGTTACTATTTTGTACGTAGTGATCATATCACCTCTCTTGCTTCTATCTACTAGTTTAAACATATTTAATGCCTCTAACCTCTCCTCGTAGCTCTTGTCCTTCAGTTCTAGGAGCCACTTAGTGGCATGCCTTTGCACCTTTTCCAGTTTGTTGATGTGCTTCTTAAGGGCACCACACAACTGCTGCATATTCTAGCTTTGGCCTAACAAAAGTCGTGAACAATTTCTTTATTTAGTATATCGCCATCCTGTATTTAAAAGCAATTCTGAAGTTAGAAAGTGTAGCATTGGTCCCTCGCACAATGTTCTTTATGTGGTCCTCAGGTGATAGTTTTCTATATAGAACAACCCTTAGAAAGAATTCTTTATCAGAATTCTTTAAAGATTTCTCACATAATTTATAGGATGTGTGTGGTCTATGTTCTCCTATTCCACATTCCATAACATGGCATTTATTTGACCAAGTGGTGCTCCATATACTTATTTTGTAAAGGACTTCTTGAAGGGAATGCCAAATAATCTAAGTTACTTATCTTCCCTATTATTTTAACATCATCAGTAAACATGTTCATATAAGTCCGTATGCCATCTGGTAGATCGTTTATGTAGACAATGAACATTACCAGTGCAAGGACTGAACCCTGCGGTACTCCACTTATGACATTTCTCCAGTCCGATACATTTCCTTTGATTACGGCCCTCATTTTTCTATCCGTTAGAATTTTTTTCATCCATGTTAGAAGCTTACCTGTCACCCCTCCAATATGTTCCAGAACAACCTCTTATGTGGAACTCTGTCGAAAGCCTTTTTTTTTTTAGGTTCAGATAGATGCAGTCAACCAAACCATCTCTTTCCTGTAAAATCTCTGTGGCTCGATCACAGAAACTGAGTAAATTCGTCATACAGGATCTTCCAGATCGAAAACCATACTGATGGTCTGATATTATATCGTTTTTCTCCAGGTGTTCTACCCATTTAGTTTTTACTATTTTTTCCAATATTTTGACTTACACTTGTCAACGATACAGGTCTATAATTGAGGGGGTTTTCCCTGCTGCCACTTTCGAACTATGTTAGCCTGTTTCCACACATCAGCTACAACTCCTGTAAACAGGGATGCCTGAAAAATCATTTGAAGTGAAATGCTGAGTTCGGGTGCACATTCTCTCAGAACCCATGGTGAAACTCCATCTGGGCCAACTGCTTTGTTCTTTCTTAGCTCCTTGAGCATTTTTTCCATTTCGTCTCTAGACACCTGTATGTGCTCTATATTGTTCTCTGGAATTCTAAGTGTTTTTGGATCCCTGAAGATTTAAATTTGTACAAACACACTTTGGAACTTTTCGTTTAATGTTTCACACATTTTCTTTTCATTTTCCGTAAATCTGTTTCCTATTTTCAACCTTTGAATATTATCCTTTACCTGCAATTTGTTGTTAATGAAGTTCTAGAATAGGCCTGGTTCTGTTTTACATTTATCCGCTATCCCTTTTTCAAAATTTCATTTTGCCTCTTCTCACTGCCGTGTAGTTGTTTCTGGCATCTTTGTATCGCTGGTTTGTTTGGGGGTTTGACTTCTAAATATATTGATTCCATTTCTGTGTCTGTTAGTCTGTGGCTCTGTTGCAATTTCTGTTTAAACAATTCTGTTTCCTAGATCTGCATCTCTGTTTTGATATGAATGCTTGTGTGCCTTCATCGTATATTTTGTAAAATTTGGGATACATCTCATTTACTTCCCTCCCTAGCAACAAGTCTGTTCAATTACACTCATTAAAAAATTATCTAACGTCCCCATAGTGGCCTCTCTTGAAATCGAGTTTAACAACTGTTTTAATGTCTCCATTTTCTTCTAGATTATATTTCAACGCATATGTAATGTCCAACAGGACATGATCACTCTTTCTCAAGGGAGGAAGGTAGTAGATGTCAAATATCTTTTCTTCCTTCCTGGTGAATAATAGATCCAGTACTGACGGAACATCCCCTTCACTCATTCTTGTGGCCTGCTTGACGTATTGATACATGTCTCCAAAATGAGGATTACAAATTTGCCTGTCCAAATGTCCTCCGTTCTTGCTTCGTAAGCCTCCCAGTCTATTGCTTTAAAGATGAAGTCCCTCAATACCAACAATTGTGATTTATCTTTATCTGTTTGTATTATAATCTCTCTCATGACCATGATGAGGCCCTCTCGATTGTTATCCAGTTCTTCCTTACTCTATGTCTTGCTTGCTGATGGGCTGTAAGAATTTACGATTATCAGTTTATCATCCTGATTCCAGACCTGCAATGCCTCTATGTCAACTTCTCGAGGGTTGTAAAGTATTAATGTTCTTTCACCAGCACAGCCACTCCTCCCCCCCCCCCTTCCGAGTTTTCATGTCCTGTCTCCAAACTGAGTAGCCCTTGGGAATACGGCTTCATTTAAAATATTTCCTTTAAGTTTGGTGTCTGTTAATGTGACAATATCTGGGCCCTTAAGTTGCAACTTGCAACTCCAATATTTTTTTATCTTACTCCAGCTATGTTGGTATATATAATTTTCAGGAACATGTTCCCTTCCCCTTTTCTTTACTCCCTCTTCCTCTAATGATTTTGTTGCTCTGTTTTTATGTACCATTTCACTAGCTTTCCAGTCTCTAACACTTTGTAGAAAAAAGAATTTCTTTCTTCTTCATTTATATTACCATTTAGACGTTTTGCTTCAATGAGGTTCATTTTCAGCTTTTCTCTGTCTTTCTTTGAGAGGTCTTGTCTTATTGACCAAAGTTTGCCATCCTCATCACTGTAATTTCCTGGCATTTCTAAGCACTTCCGTCATTTGTTTCACTCCATTAAATGTCACCCTTAAGGGGCGGTTCTTGTCTTTTTCATATTTTCCTATCCTCTCAAAATCACTGACATTTTCCTTTGAATTTAGGCGTTCTCCTAAACCTACTATTTTCTCTATGATTTTCATTTCTCCGGCTGCTCTGTCCACCCTAGATGATATTTCCTTTTCTCAACACCCGAAAATTATTATGGAGTTACTTCAATCTGCAGTTTTGTACTAATTTACTGTTGGTAACCAGTTCTTTCCTAATTGCTTGCCTAATTTCTGATTCTTGTTTGCCATTTCTGGTTTTGACTTCCAAACACACTTCTTTGATCGCCTCTTTCTCTTTTATAACTTGCGCATACGTCTCTTGTATTTATTTATTTATTTATTTTATTTATTACTTTATTTCTTTGTGTTGATCTCTTTTTTTTTATCCCAACCTCTTGTGTTGGGTGATGCAGGGTTTTAGATCCCTGCCGATTTGGCCATGATACACTTTATTACAATCGATATAAGGAATCTTATAGACTCCAGTGCCCTTAGCTCTATTTCTTTTCTGATGAGACGTTTACTAATTCGTTACTGACTTTGTTTGGGTAACTGAAAATCAATTTTGTTTTACCATATTGCTTAAGTTATCAGCGTTGTGCTCTAAGGTAGAACTATATGGAATGACGAAGGTGCTCTTAGAGGCGGCCTCCCGCTGCCTAGTGATGTGTCTGGTAGACATTTGCATTGGCAACTTTTAAATCTTCGCCCAGGAGCCCAAGCTTACCCTATTTATATGGTCTACCCTAAACTCATAAGGTTGTTATTCATTACATTATAGATGATTAGATTTTCTTTTATTAAAACTATTATATAAAAATTTGATTATATGAACTTAACCTACCACACGTAACCTAACCTAGCATAACTAACCCAGCAATTCATGCTCTTAATATAAAATAATAATATTAATTGGAATAAACCAAACTGAAAAGAAATATTTGTAAGTAACAAAAAATCACTCTACCTGTTAGACAAATTGGCCATTGCATACCAGGTCAGAATTAGATGTAAGGAAAGCAGTAGGATCACACTAAATTTCGTGTTTGAAACTAAGAGCGGAAGTAGATATATTATTTGATCATTTATCTAGGGTCTATAATGTATCATTAGATACTGGGAAAGTCTCAGACACATGGAAGACTACAAACATGGTGCCGATATTCCAGAAAAGAAACTTACTTGAGGCTTTAAACTACAGATCAGTGTTAAATGACATGGATCCCATGAAACATGCTGAAGATAATTACATAGAGGAAAGTGAAACATCCAGAGTACTTATGATTAAGTTCTATGACAAGGCCACCACGATACGACATGAGAAAGGTTAGGTGGATTGCATCTTCCAGGATTGTCAGCCTTTACCACTCCTTTACAAAAGGCTAATTCACAAGTGGGAAGTTACTGGACTGGATTAGTGAGTATTCAACAAATAAAAAATACAGAGTTATGGTGAAAGAGGAAATGGAAGGGAAATGGCAAGCCTGAACAATAACTGTTCGAGACTCTTGTAAATGATCTCCTGGAGAAGGCAGGACCGTAAGTGGCAGTGCTTCCACCGCTGCCCACTGGATGGGGGGCGGTGTGCAGGACAAACATATCAATTGTGACACTAGCTCTCCACATATGTCAGTTGCTTAATTTAGAAACTGTACTTGTGGTCGGTCTCGAGCCCATTGATGATATGACGACTTATACTGAATTTTGTAACTAGCTCATCAAGATTGTAACTTGCTTAGCTAAATGAATTGTGGGGTTCAGTCCCTGAGCCCATTATGTGCCTCTGTAACCCTTTCCACTACCGCCCACAAGATGGGTATGGGGTGCATAATAAATGAACTAAACTCACTTATGAACTTAAGTAAAGAAACCATCAAAATGCTATACACAGCTTACACCACAAGAAGAAAATTCAGAAAGTTCAGAGATACTTTATGAAACTAGTACCAGAGAAAAGGGAAGATGAGGGGGAAAGCGCCCAGTCATTACGACTATATAGCACAGTACCAGAGAAAAGAGAAATGAGCTATGGAAATAGGTAAGAGAATTAACATAATGGGATGAGAAGAAAGGATGACCAGAGGTAATATGAACACATCATATAGGAGAGGGAGACGAATAGACTAAATGCATACAGACAGATGAAAGTTGAAAACCCAAACGTGCACGAGACAAGTAAGAGAAACACTGAAGCAGCGAGTTATAATAATATGTCATCAATATGAGCGGAAGGCTGTGTGAGTGAGCACCATTTACAGCTTGGAGGGGGAGGTCTGGCTGGCCATGTACACAACTAGGGAACATTTACAGCTTGGAGGGGTAGGTCTGGCTGGTCATGTACACAACTAGGGAACATTTACAGCTTGGAGGGGGAGGTCTGGCTGGCCATGTACACAACTAGGGAACATTTACAGCTTGGAGGGGTAGGTCTAGCTGGTCATGTACACAACTAGGGAACATTTACAGCTTGGAGGGGGAGGTCTGGCTGGCATGTACACAACTAGGGAACATTTACAGCTTGGAAGGGTAGGTCTGGCTGGCATGTACACAACTAGGGAACATTTACAGCTTGGAGGGGGAGGTCTGGCTGGCCATGTACACAACTAGGGAACATTTACAGCTTGGAGGGGGAGGTCTGGCTGGCCATGTACACAACTAGGTGAACATTTACAGCTTGGAGGGGGAGGTCTGGCTGGCCATGTACACAACTAGGGAACATTTACAGCTTGGAGGGGTAGGTCTGGCTGGCCATGTACACAACTAGGGAACATTTACAGCTTGGAGGGGGAGGTCTGGCTGGCCATGAACACAACTAGGGAACATTTACAGCTTGGAGGGGGAGGTCTGGCTGGCCATGTACACAACTAGGGAACATTTACAGCTTGGAGGGGTAGGTCTGGCTGGCCATGTACACAACTAGGGAACATTTACAGCTTGGAGGGGTAGGTCTGGCTGGCCATGTACACAACTAGGGAACATTTACAGCTTGGAGGGGGAGGTCTGGCTGGCCATGTACACAACTAGGGAACATTTACAGCTTGGAGGGGTAGGTCTGGCTGGCCATGTACACAACTAGGGAACATTTACAGCTTGGAGGGGTAGGTCTGGCTGGCCATGTACACAACTAGGGAACATTTACAGCTTGGAGGGGGAGGTCTGGCTGGCCATGTACACAACTAGGGAACATTTACAGCTTGGAGGGGTAGGTCTGGCTGGCCATGTACACAACTAGGGAACATTTACAGCTTGGAGGGGTAGGTCTGGCTGGCCATGTACACAACTAGGTGAACATTTACAGCTTGGAGGGGGAGGTCTGGCTGGCCATGTACACAACTAGGGAACATTTACAGCTTGGAGGGGTAGGTCTGGCTGGCCATGTACACAACTAGGGAACATTTACAGCTTGGAGGGGGAGGTCTGGCTGGCCATGAACACAACTAGGGAACATTTACAGCTTGGAGGGGTAGGTCTGGCTGGCCATGTACACAACTAGGTGAACATTTACAGCTTGGAGGGGGAGGTCTGGCTGGCCATGTACACAACTAGGGAACATTTACAGCTTGGAGGGGGAGGTCTAGCTGGCCATGTACACAACTAGGGAACATTTACAGCTTGGAGGGGGAGGTCTGGCTGGCCATGTACACAACTAGTCAACATTTACAGCTTGGAGGGGGAGGTCTGGCTGGCTATGTACACAACTAGGGAACATTTACAGCTTGGAGGGGTAGGTCTGGCTGGCCATGTACACAACAAGGGAACATTTACAGCTTGGAATGGTAGGTCAGGCTGGCCATGTACACAACAAGGGGACACACACACACCTGTTGATGGAAGTTGACGTTCATGTCCCTAGCAACACTGTACAGTGCTCTAATGTGCGCCATGGCAGCTTTATCTTCCTCATGCAGCTCACGCCAATGGCTCAGCCATTCATTACTGGATGTTTCCAGCACTTTCAGTAGCTGCTCATTGCATTCTGTAAATTAGAGAAAACTCAAGGTAAGAAGTACATACATACATACATACATATATATATATATATATATATATATATATATATATATATATATATATATATATATATATATATATATATATATATATATATATGTCGTACCTAGTAGCCAGAACGCACTTCTCAGCCTGCTATGCAAGGCCCGATTTGCCTAATTAGCCAAGTTTTCATGAATAATTGTTTTTCGACTACCTAACCTACCTACCCTAACCTAACCTAACTTTTTCGGCTACCTAACCTATAAAGATAGGTTAGGTTAGGTTAGGTAGGGTTGGTTAAGTTCGGTCATATATCTACGTTATTTTTAACTCCAATAAAAAAAATGACCTCATACATAATGAAATGAGTAGCTTTATCATTTCATAAGAAAAAAATTAGAGAAAATATATTAATTCAGGAAAACTTGGCTTATTAGGCAAATCGGGCCTTGCATAGTAGGCCGAGAAGTGCGTTCTGGCTACTAGGTACGACATATATATATATATATATATATATATATATATATATATATATATATATATATATATATATATATATATATATATATATACACAAGTATATGCGAACAAGCCTGAATGGTCCCCCAGGACTATATGCAATTGAAAACTCACACCCCAGAAGTGACTCGAACCCATACTGCCAGAAGCAACGCAACTGGTATGTACAGGACACCATAATCTGCTTGACCATCACGACCTGACAAAAGGAAGTGATAGTTGAAACTATTTGAACCACCTCCCCCAGCCGGCACTCAGATGGTAATCTTGGGCATAGTATTTTATCATATCACCTCATTCTTTGGGGCACACGTGAGGAACACAAATGCGAACAAGCCTGAATGGTCCCCAGGACTATATGCAACTGAAAACTCACACCCCAGAAGTAACTCGAACCCATACTGCCAGGAGCAACGCAACTGGCATGTACAGGACACCTTAATCCACTCGACCATCATGACCGGACAATAAGGACAATAATACCAGTTGCGTTGCTCCTGGCAGTATGGGTTCGAGTCACTTCTGGGGTGTGAGTTTTCAGTTATATATATATATATATATATATATATATATATATATATATATATATATATGTATATATATATATATATATATATATATATATATATATATATATATATATATATATATATATATATATATATATATGTCGTACCTAGTAGCCAGAACTCACTTCTCAGCCTACTATGCGAGGCCCGATTTGCCTAATAAGCCAAGTTTTACTGAATTAATATATTTTCTCTAATTTTTTTCTTATGAAATGATAAAGCTACCCATTTCATTATGTATGAGGTCATTTTTTTTTATTGGAGTTAAAATTAACGTAGATATATGACCGAACCTAACCAACCCTACCTAACCTAACCTAACCTATCTTTATAGGTTAGGTTAGGTTAGGTAGCCGAAAACGTTAGGTTAGGTTAGGTTAGGTTAGGTAGGTTAGGTTGTCGAAAAAACATTAATTCATAAAAACTAGGCTTATTAGGCAAATCAGGCCTTCCATAGTAGGCTGAGAAGTGAGTTCTGGCTACTAGGTACGACATATATATATATATATATATATATATATATATATATATATATATATATATATATATATATATATATATATATATATATATATATATATATATATATATATATAACCTTGCTACAATATATTTTGTCATCTTTCAAGATATGTTAGATTAAGGACCGACCCGAAATGCTATGCGTGTTAGTGGCTTTGCAACAATGTACAAATTCCTGTCTTATGTAATTTCACCAACCAATTGTACCTTCTCGTGAACAAATTATTATTATTTTTATTATTTATTTGGATTACGAATGGTGTGAATTACCAGGATAGCTTTGCTTTGTTACCGGATAGTAGTGTTTTAACCTGATTATCATTTACCTATTTAGCGAGAAATAATTTTCTGGTAGGAACTCCTGCATCCTACAGAAAGAGGAAAAAGCGTAAAGATAATGATGATAAATTATATTACTCCTATTATAATTAATTTCATAGTAGCTCACCCTTCCAAATTGTAACTGGGTTAGAGTGAGTCTTATAGTCTTCAGACTTCATAGCAGTTGTCACTAACGTCTTGCTAGCTGGTCCATCACTCTCATCTGACATACATTGTTTCTTGCCATTAACTACTTGCATGTTAGCGGACACCTCATTTTCCTCCAAGACTCGTTGTTTCTTGCCAGTCATCTCTGACGCATGATGCAGCAAGTCTTGAACTTGGTGATGCTGCATGCTCAACCTGGAACCAATAAATCACGCAATGTTAAAACAGATTGAATCTACTTCATCCACTTGTCAAATACAGTGGATGAAGAGTGCGGGCCAGGGGCCAGATTCACGAAGCAGATGCACAAGCACTTACGAACCTGTCCATCTTCTCACAATCTTTGACGGCTTTGTTCACAATTATTAAACAGTTAGTGAGCTCCGAAGCAACAGGATGGTGTTCATAACAATAACAACAGTTGATTGAGAAATTTTCATGCTTGTAAATGTTTAATAAATGTAACCAAAGCCGTCAAAGACTGAGGAAAGATGTACACGTTCGTAAGTACTTAAGTAACTGCTTCGTGAATCCGGGTCCTGGCAGATTATTCACAGCAAGTGGACACAAGGGTAGAGAAAGAGTTTAGCACTGAAAATTCGAGTTATAATGTGGAGATTATAAGAACTATACATGTTTAATGTCTTTAAGGTAGTTGCTGATGTCAATATCTTTATTCAGTAAGTTAAGGACGGGGGATCAAGAAACCCGCGCTCCTTGAGAGAACTCGAGCAACATCAAAGACCCCAAGACTTTTTCAACACTTCCTGTACACATTCGGGGCATAACTGGCCGACCTCTAGAAGCGTTCACAAGAGAACTCGACAACTTAATAGTTTGCTTCTCTAAATTAAGATATTTGTTATATATCCTCTGTTATAATGCGTCGCTTTATGTCGCTAACTTGTAAATTATTTATATATTTTTACATTTACTCAGCAAAGTGACAAGCAGGGTTTTGTCACTTGTTATAATAGTGCACAAGGATGGACACACTGCTGGCCAGGGTCTGTCTTACCCCTTCCCTTCCCTTCTCCTCTCTCTCCCCTTCATCACCTATCCTCTCCCTCTCTAATCCTTTCTTCTCCCACTATTACCCTCTCCCATCTCTCCACCTCCTCCACCAATCTCCCTAACTCTCTCCTTCCCTCACTTCAAACATCCCCAGTCTCTCCCTTTTATTTTTCTTTCTGAAAGTGTAACATTTAATGCACGTTTATCGTTTTCAATTGAAGAAATCTAGGGATTCTGTCAGTCACGTTTCACTGATTAGGCTCGACCCCCCTACCCCCTAATTAGTAGGATAAATAGGACCGACCCCGAACAGCCTATCTTTGTCCCATACCCCAGACCATTCACGCTGAATAGTTGGATGAGGCTAGCCCTAAATGTCTGTAACTAATCTAGGACAGACATACAGACATTCTCACTTTGCCTGTCCAAAATTGGAGGCCAAACGCTTGGGGCTAGCTTCACCCAAATTTACAGAGGGAATGGTCTAGGATACAGAATGACCACAGGCAGGTCAGAGGTCGCCAGAGTTCAAAAGGGAACAGCATGCCAGGGACACATTCACACCCCCGCGACAAATTTTGGCACTGCCCTCCAGCTACACAGCTAAACAATATTTTGATAACAAACATTTCAAAACCATTTTTCTTACAGTAATATACACACCACTGTTCACTGATCTGGAGAAATTAACAGACATTTCCTGCTACTCATAATTTGTCTGTAGTCATATAAAACAAGACGTTCCTCCGACACCTTCAGAGTTTCTCAAGCCATGAACCTTTCTCAGAGTAAATGGGCCGCTAAGCTCCTCTCACCAGTCTGCACACACGAACACACACCACTAGCAAGCTGTTAGAACTTTTAGAAGAGAGACAGACACAAAGGCAAATAGACAGTAGATAAATAGATGGATGGAAAAATGGATAGATGGATTGATAGATGAATAGATGGATGGACAGATGGATTAATGGATATAGATACATAGATGGTTAAATATAGATATATGGATGGATAGATGAAGATTGACAGATGGACAGACAGCTGGAGAAATAGATGGATGGATAGATGAAGATAGATAAGTGGATGAGAGAGACAGACCCAAGCAACACCAGGTACCCCACTTTATATGTATGTATGCATATATATCTATACTATAAGTGAGAACGTGTCATTGTCTGTCTGTCCAAAGTTGGAGGTCAACTCTATTGAATTGATTGGGAGTTTCATGGAGGATTTTTCAACCAGGATCCAGGAGTTTTACTGGATCAACCAGGATATTTATGGTTGGCCCACCTACACTCTGACGCGTGGGTAATGGTGTTCACTCCCTTATGGATCACAATAAAGTCACAATGGTAAATCACAAATCATAAATTCTTATAAATCACAAAAAATATATCAATGAGAAAATAATTTTGGGGCAACGGGGTGACTTGAACCAGCGTTCTGGACATTCCCGGACACCTGCCTTAACCCACTTGGCCACGATAGAACAACACCATCCAGGCCGGAAAACACTACTGAATTCACTGTGTGATTCCAGAGGGCCTTTATTTTTACGGTTTTCTGTAATAAATTAATAATGCAATTGAATTTTCTTGAATTTGCATAAATATCAACTCATATATTAATGAATAAAGATTTTAGATTTAAACTGATGTTGTCATTACTATGCCTATTACTGTTACTCCTGCTGTTATCATTACAAATAATATATATCATATATGATTAGCTATGATTATCATATATGTAACAATATATACCGCCTCTCAAAATGTTTTGCACTGCAATGTCTACAAATGTAAGTATAATTTACTCTGCTGTATGCGCGTTCAGTCCGTCTAGGATCATAAAGACTTGTATAAGTTGTTATTAATAATGCCTCTGCCAATCTGTTAACCAAAAGTTGGCCGCGGAGATATTGCCATTTGGTATATATGGGACCCAGTACGAGTCTCCTTATGACCCAAAAGGGAATGGCGACGGTGTGCAGCGTAGGTAGGAGAGTAGCCTATCTTGCTTCCCTTGCCGCTTCCTCCATGCGGAGGACCCAGCAAAATCGCACCGTTTTGTATTTGAGGCAGAAGATGGTGGTGGGAGGCAGAGAGCTGCAGGTGGTGGGCATGGAGCTCTTTCAGTCCGTTATCTTGTTCAGTGATGGAATCCGGCTGCTATAGATCCGGTCGGTCTGGATCACAGAACCACCATAATAAAGTTGACTGTGACTAACATAGCATGCTTCATGCCTTTACCACCTACTCGTGTCAATTACACTCCCATCAATTGCAACGTAATAAATTTTCAATAAAATATACATATATCGGAACCAATGAGATCATAATTTACTGCTCCAGAAAAAATTACAATACAATTAATACAGCCATCCCCAGCGGGGAATTTACGACTTTGTATCACAACCTATGACTGGAAGTCAGCCATGGAAGTTGTACTAGTTTTAAGTAAGCTTCCTGCCGGTAGTTAATCCGGTCGAAATTAAGACAGACGAATAAGCATGAAGAGTTAATAGGTTAAGGTTACTGAAGAAACTGAAGTAAATGTTAAGAAAATATTTGATGTAAAGTAAATCATTCAAATAATAATGTAAAACAAGAGCAAAGGTAAATAACACAAAATTGTATTGAGCGCATTTGAGTGTAGTTAGTAACACACAGAGGGCAACCTGGCACAGGGTTAATTACGGGAATACTGAGGTAAAGTCCTGAGCACAGGAGGAGAGTTTCGACATTATCTCTCTTTACTCCTATTCTATGTGGTCGCAAATGGAGGAAAATAATACAGGGATCCCCCCCCCAAAAAAAACTGGAGTCATTTTCACACTTTCCTGTTTGCCCTTGGCATACAGTATGCATAAATACTAAAAGTTCCCGATGAACAGTAGTTCCCGATGATTATTTACAGTGTGGTTATACGTAAAAATTAATTGCAATGTCGGAAGGCCGTTTAAGCTAAGTACATTTCAAATTAAAGGTGCACATTTTGGCTTAGCGAGGCTGTAATTTATCCTTATAGCTGTATCTGACAGCGACGGGTCTGGCTTATTAGCAATTCAATTTCTTTCTTTATTATGCATCCCATACCCATCCTGTGAGCGGTGGTGGAAAGGGTTACAGTCACATAATCGGTTCAGGAACTGAACCCCAGAGTTCATATAAGCCTAACATGTACTGTGTAAATAAACTGGTTGCTTGTTCCCAGACACAATGAATTAATTTTTATATGCTATTACTACCACTACTACTACTAATAATAATTTATAATTTTGAAATCCAGAGGATCAGATTACAGCAGTAACTTAGTGGGCACTGTATGTGAATATTGTATAAGGCCAGTAATCGATTGCATGGAGCAGTAATTACTTCCTCAGAGTGAAGCTGTGCTGTGAGACACTTGAGATGTGTTCAACTATCGCAAAATGGTTCAAGTAACAAAAAGAGAGCATCCTTAAGGTGGTTGGCGGATGTGTGGTGGATTTCAACAATTTTGGGGGCCTCGTAGCCTGGTGGATAGCGCGCAGGACTCGTAATTCTGTGGCGCGGGTTCGATTCCCTCACGAGGCAGAAACAAATGGGCAAAGTTTCTTTCACCCTAAGTGCCCCTGTTACCTAGCAGTAAATAGGTACCTGGGAGTTAGTTAGCTGTCACGGGCTGCTTCCTGGGGGTGGAGGCCTGGTCGAGGACCGGGCCGCGGGGACACTAAAGCCCCGAAAGCATCTCAAGATAACGTTTACAAACTGTGAGGAGTATGGGTTGCCAGCTGACCTCAGGGGTCTAACGGCTGAGGGGACAGCGCTCGGGATTCGTAGTCCTAGGGTCCGGGTTCGATCCCCGGAGGAGGCGGAAACAAATGGGCACAGTTTTTTTCACCCTGATGCCTCTGTTCACCTATCAATAAATAGGTACCTGGTAATTAGACAGCTGCTTCCTGGACGTGTGTGTGAAGAAATAAAAAACAAAGAAAAAACAATCAGTTGATTGATTGACAGGTGAGAGGCGGTCCCAAAGAGCCAAAGCTCCACGCCCGCAAGTACAACTAGGTGAGTACAGAGGCAGGGTAAGGTATGTGGCCCGCCAGGGTACCTTATACTGTCAGTGGTCTGTGCTGGTATCTGGGTTGTTGTGGTAACAGACTCCATATCTCACCTTAACCTGGCATTTACCAT